GCTTTACGGGATTTTATGTGAGAAGGCCTTTATCGACTCTAAAAAGTACATATTACAGCTACAATTACTCAAAAAGTAAGATCGTTTACTTTTTCAGTTACTTTTCTATTTTCAGAACAACATAAATAATATTGGTACCATTAAGGGGGAGCCTGGTTTAGCACGCTGAAAAATTAGATGATTTTTGGAATTTTTTTAAGAAACTATACAACCAATCCTTTTGAACTTTATAGAGTAATTTCTTATACTATTGAACTAACAAAAACATATTTATTATGCAAGTAATAATAACATTTATTCGGCGGTGATGGTGTTTGGCGGCGTGCAAGATAATTCGAAAACTATTTATCCGATTGACTTGGGCTTTTGCACACATCTGCACAAATGCTTCCCCAACAACTTGAATCACAGTTTCCAACCCAGGTTCCTCCTTTATTAGAGATAAAGATTGGTTCACGTTTACATATTATATTTAAATAGTAGGAAAAGTGATTCAACAGCCTATATTGTCAAATAAGTTTGCATAACATATATAAAGTAACTATTAAATTAATTACTATATTTACCAAAAAGATGTAATTAAGTTATAGTTATAGATGGAAAAAAGTAATGAAGTTAAGTTACAGTTATTGAAAAAAAAAACTCTAACAATTTATAAGTAATGAGTTACCCTGGTTTTTTTTTATAACCGAACTAGTATACACTCTCTGTACTTAAGAAATTAAATATGTAGAGATATGTTTAAAATTTGACGAATGCGAGAAGGAAAGTTCTAGGTGCAGTTTATCAGTAAAAAAATTTCCATCGAATTACGGCGATTTTAGACAACGGGATTCTTCACATTTGTGATCACATACGAAGGAGAAAATATTTGCTTAATAAACAGATATTGAAAAAGAACAGAATGTGTCGACTGCTATGAACGCATTTTTCGATTTGTTTCTGTTTTTTTTATTCTGCTTTTCTGCTTCTAGAATGAGTTTATTTTTATGTCATTAAATTATACCCATAGTCATTATTTTTATAATACGTTCTCTCTCAAAGAATGATGTTATGATAAAGAACATATTTGGCGCATTTTTTTTATATATTTTTGGTTAATTTAGTATAAAATTTTCGTTGTCAGTTATATGTGATCATAATTATATAGGGTATGGAAAAAAGATTGGGACCCTAAATAACTCGGAAAATATAAATTTTATAAAAAAATGTTTCAGACAAAAATTGTAGGGTTTAAAAATTGCATTTACTGATGTTATTATTTTGACCTTGGAGGTCGTTGCCAAGATCATAACAACACGTCACCAAGATTATAATCTTGGTGAAACATCTTTCTGAAACATTTTTCTATAAAACTTATATTTTCTGAGTTATTTAGGGGGTTCCAACTTTTTTTCCACATGTATGTGATCGTCGTTGCCGTTTCTGTAGAATTTATCTTGTACAGCTGTTATAGATTAACTAGTGTTTTTATGGCTCTTGCGCATAAAAACTTATGGTCCTCGTTGGACAATCGATTCGGATGGAAGCATTACATTTGCCATATGATACGTAAAGATCTTGATATAGAGAAATGTCATAATACTTTAATTACTTATAATATTCCGGTGTCACGTAATTAGGTAAATAAAATAAGGCTTCAACAGTCAAACCGAAATATTCAATAATAAAAAAATATTAAGATGTTTACTAGAAACATTTCTAAATGCCTCATCCTGATTTTCAGATGTTTGCAAATAAATCAATTTACCGATACATTGAAATTTTTGACAATTGAAATGCAGTGTCTCGTAAGAATAATCAGTGGATGGCATATAATCATGACTTAGGTAGATAGTACATAATCGCAACGATAAATTCTTAATGTTAGAAGTGTACATTCGCGATGCTACCACGTCGAAAGACAGGGAACATTTACATTTTTCTGATTAGACTTTAAAAATATCTTTATTTAAAAAACATGTGATTGCAAGGTAAAAAAATAAACTCAAAAATTAAAATGCTGGCCTATTTGGCGCGTTAGGGGAATAGTTATTTAAAATTTACGCGGTCTGAGAACGTGTTAGATAGTTCTTATTGCGAGAAATGTTATCACATGCCTCAAAAACGGTGATCAAAAACGCTCGAAATGAACAGTGTAACGATCCCGAAGCGAGTGCTTTCCGATGACCATGGAAAGCACTTCCCACTAATCGTCAATCCGTTTCCTATTATCACTTCTCGATAACGTGACCGTCGCGATGGTCCCTTTTGTTTACGCACGGAATTGAATTCTAAGAGCCCTTTGTGTATTCATCGCGGCGCCGATTCGACCTTCAAGACGCATGCATATGTATATGCGACATGTGATAGCAATTGTCGATCCCTGTCTATTTTGTTTTGTCGTGCACGACTTTCAGAGCTCTACGCATCAGAAGGGTACGTTTGAAGTTTTAAAATCTCAAGATGAAAGATTGCGACATATACATACGCGCGCGCAGCACACGGTACATTGCACACGGATTGCTGATATTCTACTTATGCAAATTATCTTTATAATAGTTTTTTATTTATTTATTTTTTTTATTTTTTTAAGTAAGACTTGACAAACTCATTAAATACACGCACAGAATTTGGATCGTCCTAGAATATCGAATCAATTGCGCTCAACAACGAATCTAAAAACATTAAAACAAAGAAATTAATAAGTGATTTTTTTTATTATGCAAACTATTCGATTGTCTATCTTGTTCTTCGATACGTTCGTTTTACTGTATTTAAAGTGGCGCAAAATTTTATTGTTTTTATTTTCTAATAGACTTCCGAATTTTTAAAATTTTAAAATAAATCGCAAAAAAATTTAATAGGTGCAGAAGTAATCGAATTTCTAAATATTTGTAATATTGACATACATTATTATTTTAAATCTGTTCAATAAATTGCAGAACATCCTCTCCAAAATGGATCCTAATAAGAAATCTAACGGGAAAGGACGCGGTTCTCTCCTGTTGGAGATGATGAAGAAAGCACAAACGGAACGTTCCCAAGGGATGTCCCATTCTCTAGAAACACCTAGCGTTTCATCTGATCAAACATCAAGATCATCTGAGGGACTGAGGGATTTAACTCAAAGCACATCTGGTGGCTCAAGCGCTGGTGGAGGTCGCGGACGCGCGCAATTAGTTTCTTTACTAAAATCAATGAGTAGCAGTGACTCGGATTCCAGAGATTCCTCAGCAGCTGGAGCCGTAGGTCACGGTCGAGGTTCTCTCCCAAGTTTGATAAAGAGACTTGGGTGAGTGGAGCAAGCTTTTGGAATCTCTGAATTACAGTCTATGAATGCACATTTACAAATGCGAATGAATTTTTGCTCAATTCCAGCCAACCGAGTACATCTGCGAGAGAAGAAAGTGTTGAAAAGGACATTTCTGCGGGAGTTTTAGGAAAATTAGCTGACATTTCTGTATATGATAATCCACCGCCCACCTCCGAAGAACTGCAGTCTTCTGAAGATATTGCGCCGATATGTCGACAAGGCAAAAGTGGAGAAAGGTAATTTATTAATTTATCGTTTATAATATTGAGAGTACATATACATTCTCGACTACAAGAGAAGAGCAACTCAAAAATTCAGAAAATTATAAAACTCACAATATATTTATAGATGTAATAAGCTATTGTTTTGCTGCCCATTAATTCATCTTGAATGAGTACAAAAATCACTGAAACCGTTTTCATTTTTGTTATTCACTAACAAAAGAAATAGAACAAAATTCTGTAGAGAAAACTTTTAATGAAATTTATTGAAGAGAAAACTTGTCAATAGTTAAAATTATAATTACAAGACTTGATACATCTGCCACGTTGTATCATGTGCGATAATTATTTTATCACACGTTATTTATGGTAGGAATTAATTTCTGAGTTAGGGATCTTCTCTTGTTAAATATTTTTTGGTAGATTTGAATCATAGACAAGTGATACAATATATAAGTAAATTTCAAAAATATATGGTGAGGTTTCTGTTTAGATTTATTTTTAATAGCGTAAAAGTGAAACCACATCACTATCGTGTATACTATCGAGAAAGAAGAAATATTTTTTTATAATTCAATAGCAACAACAATTAATAAAAATTGTTTTTTATTGTAGGGTAGAAGCGTTCTCCAATTACATAGATCTGACAATAGAATCTGGAAGAGGTCTATATCAATATGAAGTTAAATTTTCGCCAGATATAGATTCAAGAGGTTTACGTAACAAATTACTTAATCAACATTCGGCTATTATAGGAACAAGAACATTTGATGGGATGATGCTTTATTTGCCAATAAAATTGCCACAAGATGTAAGTTTAAACTCTATTTGATAGACGTATTATTAATAAAATGTGTGTACAGAGTGTTGCACATACATATTAGACAGTGTGACGGGTTGCGCGGCAGACTTTGCTCCTTTGCAGGGGCAGAAGCCGGCTCAGTAATACTAAAAATTTTAAAAGTACTAAAAACTAAAGTAAATACTCATTACTTACTAAGCTACGCCTGCCCCTGCAAGTCTGCTGCACAACTTGTTATACTGCCTAATATGTATATGCAACACCCTGTACATTGTAATATTGTATCATGTGTAAATGTGTCATTGTTAAATTTTCAGATTTCTCACTTTCAATCGGAACATCCAATGGATGGTACACAAATAACTCTTACGATCATTTTCAAAAAAAAACAATCGATGGGTGAAAATGTTCAATTTTTCAATATTTTGTTCAAACGTGTTCTGCGCGCGCTTGGTTTAGTTCCCATTGGTCGACAAAATTTTAATCCAAAATGCGCGCACCCCTTTCCTCAGTATAAATTGGAAATGTGGCCTGGTTACGTAACTGCTATAAATGAATACGAGGGTGGTTTAAAATTGTGTTTGGATGCTAAACATCGTGCGATGCGGACGGAAACTATACGAGATTTAATGTAAGACTTCTTTTCAACATTTGAAATATCACGAAATCACAATTGAAGAAGATTTACAATGAGCCAAATTTATTTCGTCTAATTTGCAGAAGAGAGATTTATCACAAATCCCGAGGCAATTACAAAGAGGCGGTAGTAAACGAAATCGTCGGTACAAGTGTATTAACGCGATATAATAATCAGACATATCGCATAGATGACATCGATTGGGATAAAACACCAAAATATATGTTCTCTAGAGGCGGCCAACCAACATCTTTGGTCGATTATTACAAGTCACATTGGAATATTGAGATTAGTGATCTGCAGCAACCGCTTTTAGTGCATCGTGCTACAGTTAGAACACCATCTGGCGAGGTTTGTGGTTTTATATGATATTCATGCCAACAGTATTACATCAATAGTAATATCATATGATATTACTACTGATACAATACTGTTGATTATGTTACTTAAAATTCGTTATTACTACAAAAAAAAACATTTGAATTTTACAATAGAAGGAGGAAAGAGTAATTCTTTTGGTGCCAGAATTGAGCTATGCTGCAGGTCTCACTGACAGTATACGCAATAATCATACTATGATGAGAGATTTGAGTGAAGTTACGAAAATGTCGCCTGAACAACGTCGAGAGACAATCAGGCGATTTATAGAGGAAGTGGAGAAAACTAAAGTCACTCGGGAATTACTATCCGCATGGGGTTTGCGTTTGAACAAGGATCTAGTTCGATTTACCGCAAGACGTCTCGAACCTGAACAGATAAAGTTTGGGAACAACAGAACATATCTTTCGAGAGATAGACCTGCAGATTGGAGCGGTGCTGCAGTAAGAAATCCTGTGTTACGCACTGTAAGTATATCGAATAACAATTACTTGGGAATTGAAAAAATGAATGATTTTGTATAACAACACTTGTTATCTCACTTGCTTCCTTTGCATTTCAGCCTCATTTGAACAGGTGGTATATTTTTCACTCTCCGAATGACCAACGTTATGTAAACGATTTTGTAAAGTGTTTGGCAAACGTTGCAAATGCGATCCATATGCAAATTCAAAAACCAGAACAGATATGTTTAAAGGATGACAGAACCGAGACTTATCTGCGAGAAATTCAAAAAGCTATCAACAATGAGCCCGAATTAGTAGTTGTTGTATTTCCGACCAATCGCACTGATCGTTATTCTGCAGTAAAAAAGTAAGACAATTTTTTTGCGATTTAATGATCTTATTATTTAATTTCTTTCACTCTAAGAATATACTGTATAACAGTATATTGTACAAGTATATAGATATAGTAAAAATCAATTGTCTTGATATATGAACGACATATATTTTGGAAATTCATATAATGATCATTGAAAATAAAATGTGAAAAAGTATGTCTTATTGTCTTTGTTACATTTTCAGACTGTGCTGTGTACAGAAAGCTATACCATCACAAGTCATCATTGGGAAAACAATTTCTAAGGCTAATAAGTTGAAGAGTGTCACAGAAAAAATAGCACTTCAAATGAATTGCAAACTAGGAGGAGCATTGTGGACTGTCGCGATGCCATTAGTACATAGAAAATTTATATTTCATCATATACTTTTATTTATGTATTTGTCATTCTCATTCCATAAATTCTGTTTATTTCACAGCAAAACAGCATGATATGTGGAATAGACGTTTATCACGCCGGTGTAGGAGGAGGCTCAAAAAAGAGCGTTGCAGGATTTATTGCCAGTTTAGATAATCAATTGACCAAATGGCACAGTAGAATTTGTATGCAGGCCTCAAAGCAAGAGTTGGTTGACATGCTGCAAGTGTGCCTTACTTCAGCAATTAATGCATATCACAAGGTAATTAATGCGTCTTCCAAATGTTTGAACTTTCATTGATTTCATGAAAGTGACAATAATATTATGTTGTCAGCATAATGGATGTAATCCAGAGCGCATAATTATATATCGCGATGGAGTCGGCGACGGAGATTTGGATTATGTCGAAAAATATGAGGTGAAGCAACTTTTGTCGACGTTCGGTCGCATTGCGCCAAATTATAAGCCGAAACTAAGTGTGATCATCGTTCAGAAACGTATCAATACGCGGGTATTCGTCAGAGGAGTGAGTATCGCGTTAGAATTTATATGATACAATCGTGAAATACGTTGGGTTAACAATAGGTTTTTTTTAAATTGACAATGACATTTTTTGATTAGCCGAAGGATAGTTTGATCAATCCTGACCCAGGAACCGTTGTTGATTCTTGCGTAACCAGGCGAAATTATTACGACTTCTTCCTCGTGCCGCAAAATGTACGACAGGGCACAGTAACTCCGACTCACTACATCGTTATTCACGATTCGTCCAACATGGAAACGGACCACATGCAACGACTCACGTATAAACTTTGTCACTTGTACTACAATTGGCCCGGTACGATCCGTGTACCAGCTCCTTGTCAATACGCACACAAACTTGTGTACCTGGTTGGACAAAATCTCATGGCTGAGCCACACCAAGCCCTTTCAAACATTTTATTCTATTTGTAACTTCTTCATCATTCGTTATTACTTTGTCTTTCTCTTTTTTTATTCTTTTTTTTTCTTCGTGCAAATGACATGCAAATATCGTTAAGAAAACGTTGAAAGAACTAAATATGACCAAGTATAATTGATATGATTTGATTGTATTTTTGCAGAATTCGATCGCCAAATTATCGATCATGAATGACATTCGTATGAAAGTATGTATCGTAGTTAAAATAGCCAAAGATTATGTAGAGAAAGATAAGAGATTACTACCAAGTATACTGTGATATACAAAGCACTTGGAATGCGTCTCTTATATACGTACTTTTTTTATGTTATACAGTTGACGCTTGCATTTGTATTAACCTGGAAAGTAATGGTTACTGTAGCACTCGGGAAAATACCAATGCAAGTTTGTTATTTTTAAACAGAATCTTGTTAACTGTACATACAACTCAGGTCTTTTTTTTTGTTGCCAATGCTTTAACAACTGTGCTTTAAATACTTGAAAATATTTAGATTTTTTTGTATTACTTATAACAATATAATTTACGTAGCGTTAAGAAGAGAATTAAAAGACTTCTCGCTTTTCTTATTTTCGTAGTCTAATCAAAATTATTATTAACCGATAATATTGCAAAATGAAAATTGTGCAAAAGGATAGCCTATACCTACAAAAAATATATTTTCCGTTATTTCTTTTATTTTCAGGCAATAAAACGTATATGATTTTATAACAAACTAATTTTATTTTATAATCAAAATAAATGTCATGTTTTAATTAATTTCCAAGCTTTATGTTTGCACAGTTGAATATATTTCATTGTAAGAGAAACCTAACAGCTGTTATGTATTTTTTATACAGAGATCTTGTATTGTTTATTGCAAAAAATGTGATATTTTTGATATGGTGAAAATGGCTTTTAGTGTCATTCATTTTCATATTTTATTTCGTCACATGCAATATTATAATTATTTCATTTTCTTGAAGATGGTTGTTTGCGCACATTAGGCTATTACAAATAATTTTAATGATTATCTATCAACTAGGTAATAGGGTATAATTATATTCTGAATGTATATTTCTTAGAAAAATAATGTAGAATAATCTAACATTTTTCTACGAAATTGTCTACAATCTACTGTGTTATGTGATATTAATATGTAAAGAAAAGAAACAACTGTCCATATTTTCGAAATAATTAATCTGTACACTATTCCTGTATCAGTCTGTTTAACAGCTTTTGTACATTTCCCTTTACATATTTGCTTTTTGCATGCAATTTTTTCACTATCATTCTTGACTTCTCATTTTATCATGTGCATCTGCTGCCAGTCTAAACAAAAATTTCTTGTATAAGAATTTAAGCTTCAAACAATATGGAAATTAGGCAAATTATTTTGTGTTGTAATATTTATTCATAAGCTGTATTCTGGATTAAATTGTTTCATTGAAAAATACAAATTGAATGAATGATAGAATTTGTCATAGGTATTGGCATATGATCATCAAAGTATCGAAAAAATTTTTAATTTATTTTACTATTAAAATAGACACAAAATTCAGCTAAAAAAAGTAAACACGATATATATGACATGTTCGTATATTATTTAATTTGTCATATATACAGTCTTTGTTATAAGTAGAAAGCACAATTTATTTCATTTTTTTGAAAAGGGTGGTAATATAAGCCAAAGAATTAACAAAATGTTAAAATTAGAAATATTTCTGATAAAACTTTAAATATATTTTTTATTTATGGAACGAATCAATTTATAGATTTTACAAAAATTATTACGTTTTACATTTATTACATACAAATCTATACATGTATATTCACATAAAATCTAAGTTCGTAATTATTCCCACAAATTTCTAAAAGTTTGGCAAATGTTCCAAAAAAAATTAAGATAAAATAAAACCAAATAAAATTTCCCATTCCACCGAAGAATTTCATCACTTCAAGATTTCTTGCATCGCATCGCTTGTTTTGAAGAATTCATAATAATAATCCAAGTGTGCGAGATTGGCTCTCGTACATTATTCATTGATCAATGATTTGCACCCGCACATTGAAGTCGATCAAAAGTATAACTGGATTCTCTTTCCCGAGATAGAAGCGACTGGAGGGAAACGAATCTCAGCAAAGTTAAATTTACGGCAGTTTACGAAATTTTTATCTGAAAGTAAAATTTTCACACGTCAACATTTTCAAAGATACATGCAATTTAGTGTATAAAAATACACGTAACGTATTCACTCATATATTATAAATATGCGATTTACAAACTCATCCACGAAGCGCTCATTTTATCTTGGGAAAGATTGAAAAAAAAAATAGCTGAAATCCCATATGTAAAATATCAAGTTGCGCCTGCCCGACGATACGTGACGAGTGCATTTCGGCGTTGCGTCCCTCGCGTCTCCGACACTCCGAGAGAGAGAGAGAGAGAGAGAGAACCGTGGGCGCGCAACTGCGCTAATCATCTCGCCCCGCGTGATTAGCGCACCCGCCGCGCGACCCAGGGTTGTCACGAGGCGCCGTAATTATTCGCGCGCGCGCGAAGTTTGTCGTCGGCGGCGTTCAACTCGACCGGATTCTCGCTCCGGCCGACTCTGATCGACATGCCGTGACGCTCCACTGTCCCGACGGGACGTGGATCGCCGTCGGCGGAGGAGTCTCGCGCGCTTTCGCTCTCGGCGCCGTCGCGCGCGCGTTAATTCCTGGAGATCGGTTCCCCGGCAAGGTTCTTCCGCATTGCGGCGACGTCCGTCCGTCCGTTGACACGATAGTTACGCCACTGCGCCGCACCGACGTCGCCGCCGTCGCCGTCGCCGCCGTCGCGCTCGTGTGGTACGTAATAAACACGACGCACTGCACGTGCACACACATGCGCGACGGGCGGGCGAGCGGGCGCGCGCGCGCTCCGGCTCGTATTTACAATCGCGTATCGCGTATATCGGAGTCGCCGCCATTCGCGCGAGCGCGCGCGCTCAGCGCCTGCGTACATCTTGTTTACAACTGCGGAGCTCGGCGTACACATGACCTTTACAAGATAGACACGATCGTCTGTTCGGTTGGCTAGGCGTGAACCCGCGCGCGGCCCGCGCGCGAGAAGGACAGAGAAAGAGAGCCGAGAAACGGAGAGATAGGGATAGAGAGAGAGAGAGAGAGAGAAAGAGAGAAAGAGAGGTGTCGCGCGCGAGTGTGTTGCGTGTCGTGGCGAGAGTCCCATCGCCTTTTGCTGGAACATCCGGTGGCCACGTACCCGGCGATCGCGGGGACACGAATTTCACGCGCGTCGAAACGAGCCGTGTGTCGCGTTACTTGTGCTATTACGTTTACGTCGCGCGACGATCGTCGAGGGATCGCCGACGATCGACAGGTTTTTCGAACGACAGCGACGGGCGACGTCGCTCGGTCCCGACGGCTCGCTCGCTCGCGCGCGCGCGCGCGTGTGTGTGTGTGTTGTTTGTCGCGCGCGTCCGGAGTACTCTGGTAAGTACTACGGCAGCGAGGGGTTTACCGCGCGCGCGCGCGCGCGGTCAGAGCGCACGCCTAACGACGAAGGTGGTCGAGGAAGGTCCACTCCGGGAAGGACGACCCCCCTGGGAAGGAAGCCCGAAATTTCGTCGTCTCCGTCGGATCGAGTCGACCCGACGGCGGGGGCGGAGAGAGAGAGAGACGGACGTTGATATCCCCGCGTGTATTTTCGAGCGCGGTGCGATAGTGCGTCGTTAATCGGGTGTCCCGGGTGTTCCCTCTCCTACGTGGCGGAGAAGGAGGAGGAGCGGAAGAGGAGCACGAGGAGCAGCTGCGGAGTAGAAGCGCGAAGCGAAGAAGTCAGTCGCGACGGTGCGGGAGAGGAAGAAAAAGGAAAAGGGAGGGGAGAGGAAAAGGAACCGCGCGGCGCGTTTCCCCCGCATCGACCTGGAATGCCACCGCCGCCGCCGCCGCCGCTGCCGCTGCCGCTGCCACGGTTGTTTTGATGTCGGCCGCCGCTATTGCGCATGAAAAAAAATCGCGTTGCCCTTGGCAGTAGCCTATTTATCGAGAGGAGCGCGCGACCGTGTCGTCGCCGCGGGGCCGCGCCGATAAGGGACGAATTTCGGCCAGCCGCCCACCTGCGAGGAGAGCACCCACCGCCAACCGTCTCCGCTTGCTGCCGTCCGTCCGTCCGGTCTATACGTACATACATACATACGTACGTCGGTCGGTCGCGTTTCCTCGCCGCCGCGCCGTAACACGTTTTCCACGAAAGAGTCTCGGGGACGGGACGCGCGCGCGCGCGCTCGCTCGCTTGCTCGCAAGCAGCGGAAAAAGGAGAGAGAAAGAGAGAAGTCGTCTTGCTGTTTGTGCGTGTGTGTGTGTCGTGAGTGGTCCCCTTCCTGCCCTCGTTGCCGCCACGTCTCTCCCTTGCGCCCTTCTCCCTCGCCCGCCTCCCTACCCGTCGCGTCGCGTCGTGAATCGTGTGCGTGCCGCGCGCGCTAATACCCGCGCGTATCGCGCGCTCTCCGTCTGTCTGTCTGGCTGGCTGACTGTCCGCGATCCCTCTCCCCCCCCCCGCCCCCTCGCCCGTCTCTGTCTCTGTTCCTCTGCGCGTGCGTGTGTGAGTGTCGCGGAGTGTTTATTCGTTTGAGAACTTGCGCGCATGAGAACACGGGGCGCGCGCGCACACCCGTGTGTATACACGTCACCGTCGTGGACCACGCAGTAAATTGTGTTATTCGGAGAGACAAACAGGTGCAGGAGGTGGTGGCCCCGTGTATACGCGCGCTCGGCAACGCTCGGCACAAACGGCCGCACCTCGTGGCGCGTTTGTGCGCTGACGGCTCCGCTCGTGTCGCCACGGGCCGAACGGGACTCCTCTCGCCGTCAAAACCGTACGCGGACCCTGATCGCGGACCGCGCGCGCGAATTGTTCGCGCGAGGAATGCGCGAGCGGCGGTGGCACGTCTGATCCGAGCACGTCGTCCGACGGATCGCGAGTGCGCGCGCGGGGGACGGCGGCTCCTCTCGGCGCGCCCGAGACGCGGCCCCGAGATCGGTGGCGGGCGAAATTAGACGAAACCGCGTGACAGGTGGATCGAGGCGTGCCGAGACGTAGAGAGAGAGAGAGAGAGTGAGAGAGTGCGAGAGCGAGAAAGGGAAGGAAGACGGGGTGGACGGCGGTGAAGGAGGGAGCGAAGCGAGAGTGTGAGAGAGTGCCGTCGCAACATCTCGGAGTCATCGGGCGCGTTCGGCGTGATCGCCCCCTAACTTGGGTTTTTCGACGACGACGTGGAGGTGGAGCGAGGCGGGAGTGAAGAAGAGGAGGGAGGGTGTTTGTGAGATTGTGACCGTTGTGTCGCCGTAGCCATCGTCGTCATCCGTCTCGTGGCGGCTCCCATGGCTCGCCATTGTTATTGTTGTCGTGCCTCCTAACCTACGAGAAGGTAGACGTCCGCGATCGCCACCGCGGAGAGGAAGAGAGAGTGAGAGAGAGAAAGAGGTGGCGCAGCGGGACGCGACGCGACGCTAGGCGACGCGACGCGACGCAGCACGCCCTCGGACCTCGGCGCGGACCGCGAGAACGCCGCTCGCAGCGACGAGCGCGCACATGCACACCCGGCTGCGGTGCTGTTGCTCGCGCGCATCGCCGTTGTATATTTACGTCCCCGAAACGTGCTCCCGCGCGCGTCCGCGGAGGGCCGCTCCCGGTATACCGTTTCCGTCGGCGTGACTGTCAATGTGCGACGGAATCTGAGTGCGCGATAAGAGAGCGACGACGACGACGACGACGGCGAAGAGGACGGCGCGCGTTGCCTCGTTGCAGGGGAGAGGCATTGTGGAGCTCGGCTCAGCGGCGACGATCGGATCGACGCGACGGCGCGGCGCTCCGAAGGCGGTTCGCTGACACGTTGACGGGGCCGTTGTTGTTATGCCCGCGAAAGTGCGCGGATCGCGCTCCACCGTGGCGATCGAGCGACGACGTTAATCGACGGGAGGTGGAGCGAGCGAGCGAGAGAAAGAGAGAGGGAGAGAGAGAAAGAGAGATAGAAGAGGACATTTGGCGCGAGTGTGAGAATCCTCGTCGTTCTCGGGCCTCCACAATGAACTACCGCGCTGTTGTAGCGCGTCACGCGGTCGTCTCTCGCTGAGGACGAGGCGCACGTGCGACGACGTGCCTTGTGCTCCTGGCGGATTCGCGCGGCGAGTGGCGAAACGAGGCGCACGCCGACTCGCATGCTCGTGGAGAAAGGAACGGGCGGCGGGAAGCGAGCGAGGACGATAATAGCAGGGATACCATGTGAATGATACGGAGAGAACGCGAAGGGCCGAAACGCTTGTGCGCGCGTAGTCGTTGGGCGGGGGAGGAGGGGAGGGGGATATTCGTTCCGTAAACCGTGCGACAAACGACGACGACGACGACGACGGCGATCGTCTCGATCGTCATCCCGACGATGTCCTCGGGCAGGGGCCCGGCGTCGCCCTCGGGCGGGCCCGTGATCCGCTGCGGCCACCTGAAGAAGCTCAAGACGATGAAGAAGAAATACTTCGTGCTGCGCGGCGAGGGGCCCGGCTGCCTCGCCTGCCTCGAGTATTACGACAGCAAGAAGAAATTCGAGAACAGGCAGCCGCCGAAGCGCAGCATACTGCTGCACAGCTGCTTCAACATCAACAAGCGCGGCGACACCAAGCACAAGCACGTGATCGCGCTCTACACGAAGGACGAGTGCTTCTGTCTGATCCTCGACAACGAGAAGGAGCTGGACGAGTGGCTCAAGGCGATGCTGAGGCTGCAGAGCGGGGACGTGCCCGACGGGGAGCAGCCGCGGCCTACATTCGGTAAATTGCGCCCCCGTCCCTCCACCTCTTCCCTTTCTCCTCCTCCTCCTCCTCCTCCCCTCTGATATTGCGCCGCTTTTCGAATTCCCGCCCGAAACGACGAACGCGGGAGAGAACGCTGTTTAACCAGGTTCCTGCGCAGGTACTTAATCGTCGCGCCGATCGGTACACGTTTCTCGTTCGACATTCCTCGTCTCCCCCCTCCCCCCTCCCCCCCGTGATGTCGTAAGAACGAGAAAAAAAATCGCGCGTTATCAAAATCAACCACCGCGTCCGCAGACGGAAATCTATAGATTGACACTCGAAAAAATTCTCGCGTGGTATAGAGTTGTCTGATAAAGACATTCGCGTTCTTCCGCGAATAAGTGTGCTCTACGAACGACCTTGATACGCATTTCTGTCACGTCTCGGAAAATATGAGTCGTCTCGTTTTCCGCGGATGGTAATCAATTTTTTTTTTTCACGATGACGAGATCGCCCGCGCGCCTATATCGACCGGCGCGGCGACGTAGGGGCCTGCAAGCGGAGGTCGGAGCCTTGCACGTCGCGCGTGCACACGTTTGTTTACGTCTCCGATAGAATGAATCGACGACTTTTGGTATCCGCTTGTCTCTTCGGGGAATTTTATACGTTTCACTTTCTCAGGTTTTTTTTGTTTTCGAACGTGAGATTTTTTTTCTCGTAGTCGGTTCGAAGAAAGTCGCGAGTTTTTGTCCACGTGTATCGGACGTTATAATTCTGTACACGGGTTTTTTTTTTTTTTTTTTTGATAAATCTAAATTTGTGTGGAACTGACGGGACGAATGCGAAGGCGTACAATGAAGAAAATGCCTCGCTGCTTTCTGTTTTGTGACTTCCACATTTTGAACGAGTTATACAGCCTTGGAATAAAAATAACATTGGCAATTGTTTGTGCTCTTGTGTTCCTTGCAGAAACAAAGAAAACAAGAGTGATGTCGAATACAAAACGCCTTTGTTTCAAATTTTGCATATCACTTAGGATTTCTGTTTTTATATATAAAAAAAATATCCATTATCTTGATTGTTAGCACGATTGTCTTGATATAAACTTAAATTATTTTTATACAAGAGTCAGTACTTATGTTATTGTTTTACATATACTTTCGAACATTATTCACTGTAATGCATTTGAACTATAAGCATATTCAAACATATAGTAATGAAAATGAATATTTACTAGCATTACGTAAACAGATGCTTGTTACCATAATAATTTGCAGTAAATAAAAATGCAATAGATGTTTTTAAATTTTCTACATATATATATATATCAATTTGAATTTTATATAAACTTAATATAAATGTATCATTTAGTTATTTTTTAAATATTTTAAATGTATTACTTATTTTATATATACTTATAATACAAAGCTTATTTATTAAAATTAAATATAGTTTATCAATAAAATGTTAAATTCATAATTTTATTATTTCAAATATAAGATTAGTGTTTTACATTTTTTTTTGTCTTATTTCAGAACACGTATGGCAAGTTACAATGCAAAAAAGAGGTCTGGGTGCACGGAAGAACATTCACGGACCGTATAGATTATGCCTCACCGATCAAACTTTAAGTTTAGTGAAGATTGGGGCACAGGATAACTCCGATTCTATCGAGATTTCTGTAAGTTTATGCGAAACATAGTTAAAAATAATACAATTGTAGTATAAACTGGCGCTTGTAGCTATAATTTTGTATTTTTTATATGAGTTTTGCTCATTTAATGGTAAAAGAACGCAATAGCCTGCTGTGTGCGATTTTATTCGGGATGGTCCGAGATGTATTTAGACGGATCAGCTGTCAACTGAATAATAGTGTGGATGAAAGATTTTGTTTAGACTAAGCGCCGCCACACGCAATTGCACACGGCGACGTTTCAACGCCTCGACAAGTCACTGTCTGTTCGGAAAGCTTACCGTGAAGCTTATCGCAAATTATGCGCATTATTATTTAAAAAAAAATGTATCTCATTTTTTTTTGTTATCGTCAATTCGAAAGTCAACGAGACTTAACATTCTTAAGAATTCTTAAGGTATGCTTAAGAATCAATACGGTCTCTAAGTTTCTAATTTTTTTTCTCTCTTGCAGCTAAATTACATTAGACGATGTGGATTCGCGAATGATATATTCTACATAGAAGTTGGCCGCTCCGCCGTGACTGGGGATGGCGAGTTTTGGATGGCAGTCGAGGACAACAATATCGCGCTCAATATGTACGATGTAATAACGACCGCGATGAGGAATTCGAAAAGTAACAAAGACGAGGTGGGCCCTCGTCAGAGAACACGTAGTTCCTCCGCCAATGAAGCCAGCAAACCTATATCCGTTCTCCAGAGACGGCATACGGGTCAGAAGCTTCATGGCTTTTCGCCCCTGGGTAAGCCGCAATTTTCGCAAATCTGCTTCTTGTACATATTCATTCACCCGTTGTGATTTACACCAGGATGTGTGTTATCGGTTTTTTCAGAGTGTTTCGTACTACTTATCGAAATGTTACGTTCACATATATATGTAACTTGGGACACATCGGTTATCACGTGTCTATAATCAGAGCTCGGCAGAGATACTGCGTCTCGGTTTGCTTCAATATACGTCACATTTGTGTATTTTAAAATAATCCTTTTTATACAAATTCCTTTTAAACTCCGGACTTGGAAAAACTTTCTTGCCTAATACACCGTTCCTTTTACACATAAGTTACCGCCAATTGCACACGCACATTAAGTTGTATACCCTAAGAGAAACCAGGTGAATCGTTGTATGTGTACGCATTAGAGCGCAGCTTTAGAGTAACACAAGTGGGTTTACGGGGTTTACAGAGGAACAGAAGACACACAAGGAGCAAGTGGAACCATTGCAAGAGCAGACTGCTACTCCCTCTGTTCTCACACAGTGTAGTCAATCTCGGAATACTTCCTCCACCAATACAGTCACGGGTCTGTTCTCTGTCACAATAGCTATTTGCTTTTCTTCTTTCGCGTTCTATGGATTTTGAATGGCAAAAAAGAATAGGGCACACAAGAGCAGTGTGAACATGTCATTTATTTCTCCTCAGTTTTTCATTTCATGAAGTTATAGACTTTATCTCAAGACTTGGTCATTGCATTTTTCTTTTATTCTTCATAGATTGATGCACCAGCTTTATTTAGCAACATTGTGCTATTCATGTATACGTATATACGACACATGAATCATATACTTTACATAAAATTTGTTCAGAAAAAATAAGTTTAAAAAGAATTGCTGCGTTATTTTTATTTCGTCTGTTATATATTATTTTGTGAAAAATATAATAAATATTGAATGAAGTGAGAAATATTTTCTCAATGTTAAAAGTATACATAAAGTCAGAGATTATTACAATTAATATCGACGTTAAATATGTCAAAATAAATTTCGATTATGATAAATTAATTTGAGCATAGTTTGAAAAGCTGGAGCTGAAACTTTTACACGAATGCAATGATCAATTGTGCTGAAAAGAAAAGTTTGGAACACAGTAATGCATCGTTTTCTGAGTGTTTATAGTTTCATGTAAATAGCATGATCAATACAATCAAGTTATCTGAAATCTTATAAATTATCTCATGTCAGGTATTATATATAATGCATCTTGCTAAAATAATGACGAACGATCAGGAAACTGAATTGGTACGCTTTATTGTCATTTTGATGTTATGTGTTTTATCGTAATTCTCTCTCATCACATCAAAGTTATCGTGTCACATGGGGAAATCAAACTTGAGAGAACAGTTTTGTTAGTTGAAAACGATATTTGTAAAATAGGTTCTCGTGTGTCAGACTTGTCAGTTAACTCATCGCGAGATATAAGAGTCTAGAGTCTCTGCGGCCATGTCTTTAACAGCACGATTGGTACACTATCCGTGCCGTATCTGTCGTATCCGGCACAAGATGCACGTATAAAGAGACAAGGACAGTTGTGCGATAGTGAGAGGTGTGTGGTTTGCAGCCGTTGCTGGTACCGGGGTTTGGACTACTGGGATTGCCACGACTAATGCCAACAGTGCCGGTACCGCTAGACGTCGTCATTCGGTAGCGAGTCATCCTCATTCCGTCAATAATTCCCAATCCGTTCACATCACAACAAATGCAACAAATGCAACTATGACTACCACCACTGTCACTACCACTACCATTACTGCTACCACCACTACCATCACCACCACCATTACTGCGACCGTCACCGCCACGATCACTACCACCACAACCGCGACAATATCCCATCAGAGAACCCTGTCGCTGCCCTTAGCTGCCGTTATTATCAATCAAACGCAACCATCTAAAAGATCCGTTTTACGGTGTATGTATTTCGTTCCGTCATATTTGTTTAATCGATCGGAATCTCTGTTTTTTATCCTTTAGTGTATTCTGCAGTACGCTTGTTATGCTCTTTTTTTTCTGTTTACGCATTCGGCTCTACCAAAAACCTGTACAAAGCCCATCAATGTTATGTTAATCTAATAAGAGATCATAGTAATTACAACTGTAAAGTTTTGCTAATTAAGCATGCTATTGAGTGCACGATATATTATGAAACAAAAGCTTTAGTTCGTATCTTCTATTTATTCGTTATTGAACATAAGGAATGAATCTATTTTGTACATTATCTCTCCTGGATGCTCCACAAATAGTGTTGATACTTATACAATAATCTGATACTGCAAAATGATTACCGTAATTTTTATTTTGCTTTATTTAATTTTTTTTTTAAATATTTAACCCGAGTTCTGCAAATGCGCAGAATATTTGACGAAGTGACCGTGATTTACTGTTGATTGCTTAACTTGAGAAAAAAAAATATATGTATATATATTTAAAAATGAACACAACATGTTATGTACATATATAATAATTTATATATGCGAACATAAAACTAACCGCTGTTGCTATGCTGGGACGATGGGACTGGCTTCTTTCTACTGTATGCGAGCAAACGCCACGAGGAGATTTCTGACGAGTATCTTTGCAGGTGCCACCGGGCGCGATCGATGCGACAGTTTGCCGTCGAGGGCTCGCACCGCCAGCGAGGGACAACCGGCCACGGTCGTGCTGAGCCATCCTAGAGGGGCCCATATCATGTCGCACGTACCGCGACCGCATTCCATGTGTGGCCGAGGCCTCTCGTATTCTCCGCCAGTCGCGTCGATGCCTATCAGCCCGTCTTCCGACGTCTGCTCGTCGGATTCGGCCGGATCGTCACCCTCGATGGACGACTGCGGTGACAATATTATGGAAGAAAGCACTGTCTCGAGGTACGGGCATTCCTTGACACCCGACGAGCCCGTAATCTTAGAGAAGAAAGGTGACGACTATACCCTGTGGTCGACGTCGCATCCACACCTGAAATACTCGCCAAACTTTAAATCTCATTCGCCCTCTCAGGTGAGAGTCCACTCGTGTTATCGCTTTTGAATTTTTTAATATAATAAAAAAGCTTTTATAAAACATAGCAGGATAGTATAAATCATCTTCTAAGTTGCGTTACTCGAGTTACTTAAATATTAAGTTACTTAAATATTATTCGAATGTCCCTGTATATCATTTTATCTTCCTCGTTCACCGAATGTTGAAGGATAAAATGATACACTCGGATGACGTTTCAGGATGTAGCCTTAGTATTCAATAAAATCTACAAATCTTTTGTGTGGTAATTTTTTTTATAATTTAAAATTTATAATAAATTAAAATTAAATATTTATTTTTACTGGCTCGTATTATCTACATTTTGTTCAGATAATATTATGTTTAGTTTAAAGTACAAAATACTGTTTCGTACTTTAATCACACAGCCAGAGTAAACTGTTTATCATTTTGATTGGCAGAGTTCCTACCAGAGTGAAATGTACAGTCCCTGCGGTTCGAGTCCGGGCCGCGGAGGCGCGTATATGCCCATGAGCCCGGCGACAACGGCTCATTCGCATTCCCGTGGATCATCCCTTGTGGAGGAAAGCAACGTGGACGGCTACGTGCCGATGGCACCGGTCGGCGATGACGGTTACGTCGATATGGATCCTGTAAATAGTCATAACGGTCACTTTCCGGACGACATGTCGCAGAACGACGGTAGTAGCTGTTCTGTCACATCCGGCACGCCTAGTACGGATCTGCGGTTTTCCGAGTATCATTTGGACAAAGTAACCAGCTTTTTGACGCCTGGGGAAGATCTGCAAGCCAGACCAACCAGAGCTTACTCCGTTGGATCCAGGCCGGAACAAGCCAACAGGCATCGTAAAAACAGGTATGAGCTTTATTTAGATTTTAAGTACTATGTACATTATTATTTTGATCGGACAAAATATTAAGTTCCGCAAAAAACTCTACGACGGTTGCATGCGTGATTTGAGAGAACGTTTTAACTAAATGAGTTTTGAACGTTATTCTAAATATACTATCGATAGGAAATAATGATACGAACGAGATCTTTAATTTTGCCAATGTCACTCTTTATGCAGGTTGGACATCACTCCGCAAGATGCCAATAGAGTACGAGCATTTTCCGTAGGCAGTCGGTCTAAGAGGCCCGAGATCGGAAGGCTAGCCAATGTGATCACGACGCCGTTACCAACTGGCGTGGACACCGCGAATTCGAAGTCGAGTTCCGCGCCGTTGCTGTCGAGCTCGTGGGGACACAACTCGGGTTGCTCCGGTGCGTCCGATCGCATGGAGGATCTCATGGAGTTGGACTTCACGAGGCCCAGTATTCCAACCGCTCTCTCCTCGCCCCCGTCATCCTGTCCCCCACCTCAGTCGCAACCGCAACCGTACTCTACTTACTCTACTGCCACCGACACTAGTTCCTACGTCGACATGTCGCCCGGACAAGCTCCCATATCGACCACTGCCCCATACGTCGATATGAGTGGCATAAATAAGGTATTGTCGATATATTGATGGTGTTTATCTTGTTGATAAAATTATCGCATGGCCGTTGGCTAAACAACAATGAACTTTTCTTGCAGATCAATCGCAATAACAATAATAATACAATCACTGCCAACCACAATCATAGCCACATGCATATATCATCGTTAACTTTCGCCCATAAACCTGTAATTACAACTTTAAAGCCGGTAGAGGAAGCGGAGGGACCTTACATGAAAATGGACGGTACGATAGATATGGATTGGACGCATTCGGAAGCGAGCCCGAAACAAGTGTCGTCGCCCATTCAGGAGGATACCTACCAAACGAATGGGCCACCAGGTATTAGTCTGCAAACATATGTTGCAGATAAATCCTTAATATATAATCCTTTATATAATAATATAATAAAAATAATATTTGTGGTAATTACAATAAATGTTTAGGTAGCACAAGAACGGCACCGGTAGATCTTCCGCAACCGAGGCGTCCCCCGGAGGGATACGTCGAGATGTCCTTCAAAGCGCGGCCGAGTTTAGAGCAAGACTACATAAACATGAGCATGGGTGGGAACAATCGGAACAATCGCAAAACACGGACGGGCAGTCGCAAGGAGAAATCGCGATCGCAACCAATCGCGATTCAGGCGGGCAGCAAGCCGTCGAAAACTCCAAACTTTCTACCTTTGAACGGGAGTCCGACGTCCGAGAGTCTGGCGAGCACGCCTGCCTCGCCGCCGCGGGCGACGCCGACGGGCTCATCGGCCACGATCTTTCCCTTCTCTCTGAACAGTCCTCAGTCACCCGTGAAACCTTTCACGAAGAAAAACGACGAGTTCTCCACGACGCGAGAGGGTGAAGGTTTCTCCAACCAGAATACGAACAATGACTACGCGGTGATGGAACCCGCGAAGAGGATCTGCACGTCGTGTTCCACCCCGCTGACGGAGACGGTGTCCTCGTCGAAGGCGAATAGCGAGAAGCCACCTAGTCCTGTAGAGCAGAATGTCCGGGTTATATTCAAGTCTTCGTCGTCGCAGGAGCACGGTAAGCCCATTAACATAATAACGAAAAAGCTGTCGGATCTGACGGTGTCGAAACCGCGTCTCGTCACGGCCTCGCCAAACACCAGTCCCACCCTGACGGGTTTCAAGCCGTCGACCGTGCAACAGCCCAAGCCACCCTCGCCAAAGTTCATCGACGAGACACCCACGCCTACGCCCACGTCTACACCCACGCCCACGCCTACGCCGAGCCCGTTGGACAGCGAGGGCTACGAGAAGCTTCAACCGGGCGCGACAATACTGCACTACGCTAGTCTCGATCTACCGGAGATCGATAATCCAGCGCCCGTGTCGCCGGCGTCCACGCAGGAGAATTTCACCTACGCCGAGATCGACTTCGCGAAACTCAAGCAGACCTAAAATATGCGCTATCCTAATATGCGCATATTTTGCCGCCCCCCTCCCGTTGTCGCGCACGAGACCGTGCGTGACGGGGGGGGAGAAGGGGGTGGCTTGGCTGACGCCTCTTGTGTTCCCCACGATAGCAACGAGTAGGCAGGGTATAATCGATCGTTCTGACATTGGCTCGGCTGGTCTAACCGAACAAGGCGCCGGGTAGGAACTGTACATATAATTCATTTCTTTTTCTCTCTCCAGCCTAATGGCATTGTGGCTCGTCGATCTTTCTAACGTAACGGATTGGCAGCCTATTTTAAATTGTTTGAGAGATAAGCGTCGTTGGTACCTATAGTTCTGGTTGTACTGCATTAATTATCGTATTTTATCGGAATGATGTGAAATTTTTTAATATATGCGAAGTATACTTTTCTTTTGTGTCGCTGATTCCGCAGAGAGTCCTCGAATCTGTCCACATATATGCTATTTCTAATATTAAAACTATCGGTAAGATTTAACGGAAAAGAGCAAAAAAAAACTACGGAAACGTTATCTTTTATTTAGTTAAAATAATGTATTTCTATAATTGGTCAGTAGAAGGAATTTTTCTTGGTATTAGATATATTACTTAGTTGAATGAGAGTCGCTTGTAAAAATGTATAAATCTTTTTAAATTTTAATTTTGTTAGTGGATTTGTGCGTGTTAATCTCTTATCAAAATTTATTTTGTTTTGTATTATATTTCCAGATGCTGACAAGCCAAATACGTATAAGTCAATTCTTTTTTTGTGAGATATATAGACACACGCACGCACGCACACACACACACACGCACACACACACACACACACACACACACACACATCCCAAATTTAACTTGTATATTTATAATAATGTCTTAATATATATGACGATGAAATTTATTTATATTGATTTACGCGCAGCTGTGCTCGTAAATAATATAAATTCTATTACTTTTCAGTACGCGTCATAAGTTTTAACGATGTTTTTATTTGCTCATTGTAAATTCTATTGAAAATTCGATTCTTCGAAAAAAAAAGAATCATTATTGTTCTGTACAGGGAATGGCATGTTATTCTATCTTACATGTTCGCTTACTTACCCTAACGTTTTATAACAGCCAAATTTGATTAATTGAACGAACTTGCCGTGAAGTTCGATTCCAATAATGCGACGGATAATATGTCCATCCGGACGTTGCATAATGTCGGATTCGAGTATATTTGTGTGTTGTTTTTAATTTAAAAGAGAAAAAAAAAATCGTATACATATATGTGTATAAACTTGCGCGAAAACATTGCGTGACATAAGGTATCGGCTTCTATTTTAAACGGTTTTTATCTTTATCCGAAAAATCTCTGGACATTCAATTGAGAACCTTAAATAACGGAATCTGCGAGGTCTTTTAGATGTAAGGGAACAAATGTGAAATCATGGATTTGCAATTTTTATAACTCTCGAAAAGGATTGTTTCTAAGCCTATTCTTGCGCAGGAATGCGTGCCGACGAAGACACTCGTCGACACGGACAAAGAAAAAAAAAAAGAAATTTTCTCACGACGCCAACGAAACCCTGCTTTTAGACGTTGCGACTAACCCGTTGATATCAGCGCAAATTGGCCAATTAATTTAAACGAAATTGAGGTATATCGTATAAGCTTTAGGAAGATTATCGCATAGAATACGGTGGTGTGTTAACAGTACACTACCAGAAACATAAGTACTGAAAGAGGAAAAAAAAACGTGATGGACCTGGTCTTCGTAATGATTTAACTGCGAGCCGGAACGAAATTCCGCAGAGCGAAACCCGACCATTCGATGTACCGGAGATGCACATCCCGCTGTTGTGCTCCCGCTTCTGTGTCTCTTCTGCGCCGAATTTTAGTCCGACTTAATCCTCCTCGCGAAGGAATGTTACCCGCCAATGTTAGATCGACATATTTCTCATAGAATTCGTATTGCAGACAAAATAGATGTTCCGTACACAATGGCAGTATACATGTGTTATAACGCTTTTCATATAAATTATGACGGGCCGGAGCGTCTCGAGAGAGTTAATTCGGCCTCGTATACAACACGTACACGTAAAAAAAAAAAAAAAAAACATTACGGTCGCATGACGCGTATACATATATGCATATTCGTGCTGCAGGATATTCTGTGAAAAACGGTACAACCGGCGCGGCGTCGTGCCGGGAGGGCGGTACAAAAGAAAGATCTAGAGTAATATTTGATAAGAGGAATATTTAAGGGAAAAAAAAAACAAGAGGAAAAGGGAAAAAAGGGGGAAGATAAAGATGCCTATGTGTAACGAATCGATCCTTATCAATAGTACGGCTTATCTCGTTTGAGCTAAAAAAATAAATAAATAAATATATATACATTCTTTGCATGTATCTTATTTAAAAACATATTGCGGTTGTATCGTAACGTACAGGGTGTCTTGTATATGTACACGTATGTCCGACGAGTTTTTTCGCGTGAGTTGCGAGCGCGTGTGCGTGCGTGCGTGCGTGCGTACGTACGTACGTGCGTCACGCTGTGTGACGTATCTTTTTTTTGTGTGGTGTGTATGTGGAAGTATATACGTGACGGACATGCGTGTACGTATACATATATGTACACACACATACACATACATATATAAATATATATATATATATAAATATATATATATAAATATAAATATATATATATATATATATATGTTATAAATATTAAGTATAATAATAATTAATAAACTCGCAATATACATCGTTGTTTCATTTCCTGTCACCTTACGGAAATGTCTCGTAAATCCTAAGAGGCACTGCCTCCGAGGAAAGAAATCCGCTTTGAAACCTGCTAACTTTTGAAATGTAATTTTAAATGAGTAACTGTAACTTTAACAATCAATAATTATTTCGTAAGTTTCTATTTGTAATATTTTTCTTATATGTTCTGATATAAGTTATATCACATTAATATTATTTATATTATAAATAATATAATTTATATTAATATAATTATATTGAAATATACACGAATGATGAATTTAATTAATAATCTTATGAATGAAAATTTTTGTTTCGACGTTATTCGCTTTCGAAGCTTACAATCGAATTTAAGTTATATATATTTAATTGTTGACTTGATTTAATATGATAAATCTTTATCTTCAAATAATTGAGTATTCGAATATTATTAATTTATCATCATTTCATCAGAGTCTATCTAAAATTATCGCCGTTTTTTTTTTACTGATTTTTTTCAATCTAATGTGACAAACATCTTACGAAATATGAAATATATCGAAGTGTTCTAAATATTTCCTCATAGATGTCGCCACTTGCTCCATAGTTGTGTCGCGATATTTTTCCAATCGGAATTCTCGTTCTCACGTTGTGCGCTCGATTGGTTTCAGATTATCAGATGAGCAAAACGTTTTTTCATTTGTTTATCAAGATCACAAATTTTATACATGTGTGGATTCAGCAGAATTGAAAACACTGTATTTATTCGATTAAATTTTTTATTTAAAAACAAATAGAAATTATTCTGTCTCGAAGAGTGATTACAGTACTACGTTACCGATATTTTACAAATGTAATACGATCTCTATTTTGTCAACACACATTTTCTTAAAAGAATTATTACATACACATTTACATAAGCGATTATCAATTCATTATTTGAAAACATTATTTGAAAAATAAATGGAACACGAAACATTTCGAAATGTTTCATAGCGAAAATTAATCCTAAATATACATATAGTATACGTACTTCATATTAAATAGAATTAATAATTATTGAAAACTAATTAAATTTTTTTTATTAAATTTTAAATGAATTTTAATAAAAATTTTGGGATTATTAATTTTTTATCAGTACTGAATATCACATAAGATGCTTTTCCTGCCAGCATTTTTCGTAAATTTTTATTTTTATAAAATTTTATAAATTGTCAAAAAGGGCAAACGATCGTCATATTTAGAGTATCTAATGCAATGCGATACTTTAAAATTAATACGTGGTATATTTAAGAATACGAAGTATTTACGCTATTTTTAGATTTGTGGAAATAAAATATTATATTAAAATAACAAGTAAGCATTTTTATTAAAGTTAGAAGAATGTCAAAAAATTAAATATTTATATAATATTTTATGAATAAGAGCAATTTATTACATAAATTCAAAATTTGCATCGCGACCTGACTGTATTGTAAGATAGATTTGTAGATCTAGGATTAGTTGTGATGTGTGATGCGGTGAAAAATGTAAATTCGTTTTTTTAACTATTGCATCAATAAGGGACCAGATATTAAAATGCTTGTATTTATGAAGACTTTTTTTTACAATGCAGGCCTTTTAGAGTAGCCTACAGTTTTTCTTGTTTGTGTGTTAATCGTGCGCGGACAAAGGATACGTGATACTTAACTGCAGGTAAACACGCTTGCGACGGACGGATTTAACAAACATGATCTCATAAAATGGCATCGGCCATTCTTACGTCTTTGCACAGGCGTATCGAATAGGCCTTTACGCGGTGTCTGTGCAGCGATAGCTTATCTCTTTGTTTTGAAAAAGCAGATTTACTGAAAAGAGAAAGTTCTAAAGAAACGACATTCAATAAAGAAATATATAAATAAAGAAGAACAAAATACCGATAAGAAAAGAGGCGGATTATTGCTTCTTCAACATTCAAATGCTACATTTCATTATTTCATTCATTGCCAGAAGCACAACTTAAATTCTTACGCAATCACGTTGTATTTCAAGGAGATGTAGCATATGAAACATGAAAAAAATATAACACACGAATGCGCGTGTCCTCATGGATTGTTGTCGCGATAAAAATAATATACGACTTATGAATCTTCCTCGACTTTATACGCACTTTACGCGCGTGCCACCGCGTACGCGGACGTTATCAATCCGTTTATACGACGTGACGGTCCAGCCGTCTCCTGAGAGAATAGGAGCCTCGTCTCCGGCGAAGGCCGGCGCGTGAATTCAGACACATATATATATACTCTCGCAAAGCGGGCGTGTATGGCTGCTAATTGCAGCCGGGGCTAATTGATTACGGGGCGGCCGTTTTACGATGTTTGGCGAACATGTCATCTCGCGGGCCGTCTGGCTTGCGCATGTACGACGGCGACGCTGCCGTGGGTGGAGCTCGTGAACGGGCGTCGCGGTGTCGACGTCCGGGGCTTCCATCGCGAGTGTCTGAACCCGGGGTTGCGGAGAGGATCGATCAGGGGGAGAGTCTCTCCAGGAAGCGCGGTGCTCTCTCTCTTTCTCTCTCTCTCTCTCTCTCCCTCCCTCCCTCCCTCCCTCGTCCCGCCGCACACTTGTCGAAGCCAACGACTCGTTATTTATTCGGACAGCGCGACTTATTTGACGTTTATTCGACGCACACACGCGCACTCCCGATGTTTATCCGGCACATATATTTAGCCAACGCTTCAACGACAGACACTTATTCCGATTGTCGTACCAATAACCGATCGATATCGATTCAGAGAGCAACAAAATCCATTCGCTCTCATCAGTAGCGTCGCCAACGACGAATGCTCGCGACGTTATTTATTGATAACGTCGAGAATATATTAAATTACCTTTATCCTGCTAGAAACTGTATTTATTGTACGGCCCTCTGTTTTGCATGTGATTAATATATATGATAATAATTTCACAGCTATCAGAGAGAGAGAGAGAGAGAGAGAGAGAGCTACATTTAATTTTATTCCCGTAGAAGCTACTCGTTGATCGTCCAACGTGTGTTAAGAAAAATATTAGAGGTGCGTATTGTAATATGACGGCAAATTAATATAAAGTATAT